CGTTTCATTGATTCTTTGTATTGTTTTCCTAGTTTCTACTTCATTGATTTCAGCCCTCAATTTGATTATTTCCTGGCGTCTACTCCTCCTGGGGGAGTTTGCTTCTTTGTGTTCTAGAGCTTTCAGCTGTGCTGTTAATTCTCTAGTATAACTGTTCTCCAGTTTCTTCATGTGGGCACTTAGTGCTATGAACTTCCCCTGTAGCACTGCTTTCAAAGTGTCCCATAGGTTTGCGTATGCTGTGTCTTCATTCTCATTGAATTCGAAGAAGTCTTTAATTTCTTTTTTATTTCTTCTTTGACCCAGGGATGGTACAGTTGAGCATTATTCAATTTCCATGAGTTTGTAGGTTTTCTGCATTTTGTGTTGTTGTTGAATTCTAATTTTAAAGCATGGTGGTCTGATAAGATGCATGGAGTTATTCCAATTTTTTGTAGCTGCTGAGGTTTGATATGTTGCCAAGTATGCGGTCGATTTTTGAGAAGGTTCCATGTGGTGGTGAGAAGACGGTATATTCTTTTTTTTTTGTGGATGAAATGTTCTATAGATGTCTGTTAATCCCAGTTGGGTCATTACTTCTATTAGACCCTTTCCTTCTTTGTTGAGTTTCTGTCTGGTATGCCTGTCTAGTGGTGAGAGTGGTGTGTTGAAATCTCCCACTATAACTGTGTGGGGCTTTAGATGTGATTTAAGTTCTAATAATGTTTCTTTTACGAATGTGGATGCCTTTGTATTTGGGGCATAGATGTTCAGGATAGACACTTCATCTCGGTGGGTTTCACCTGTGATGAGTATGTAATGACCTCCTTCATCTCTTTTGATTGATTTTATTTTAAAGTCTAGTTTGTTAGATATTAGGATTGCTACCCCTGCTTGTTTCTTGGGTCCATTTGATTGAAAAATTTTTTCCCAACCTTTAACTCTCAGGTAATGTCTGTCTTTGAGGGTGAGGTGTGTTTCTTGTATGCAGCAGAAGGAAGGGTTCTGTCTTAGAATCCATTATGCAAGCCTGTGTCTTTTTATGGGTGAGTTAAGGCCATTAATGTTGAGGGATTAATGACTATTGATTGCTCATCCTTCTTCGATTTGCAATGGTTGTTGTTGGTGGAATTATGTGTGGAATTTCACCACTTTGTTCTTTTGGCTGTTGGTAGAGAGGGATTCTCTAATGCCTATATTTTTCTGGTTGTAGTTAGCTTCCTTGGGTTGGAGTTTTCCTTCCAAAATTTTCTGTAGGGCTGGGTTAGTAGATACGTTTTGCTTGAATCTAGTTTTGTCATGGAATATCTTGTTTTCTCCATCTATAGTGATTGAGAGCTTTGCCGGGTATAGTAGTCTGGGCTGGCATCGATGGTCTCTTAGTGTTGGTATCTAGGGCCTTCTGGCTTTCAGAGTTTCCATGGAGAAGTCAGGTGTAATTCTGATAGGTCTGCCTTTATATGTTACTTGACCTTTTTCCTTAGCTGCTCTTAATATTCTTTCTTTATTCTGTATATTTGGGGTCTTGATTATTATGTGGCGAGGGAATTTTTTTTTTGTGGTCCACTCTATTTGGTGTTCTGTAAGCTTCTTGTACCTTCATTGGCATGTCTTTCTTAAGGTTGGGAAAGTTTTCTTCTATGATTTTGTTGAATATGTCTTCTGCCCCTTTGAAGTGGTTTTCTTCCCTTCTTCTATACCTATTATTCTTAGGTTTGGTCTTTTTCATGGTGTCCCATATTTCCTGGATGTTTTGTGTTAAGGATTTGTTGGACTTAAGGTTTTCTTTGGTTGATGAATCCATTTCTCTAGTGTATCTTCAACACTTGAGATTCTCTCTTCCAGCTCTTCTATTCTGTTGGTAATGCTTGTATCGGTAGTACCTGACCGTTTGCCCAGCTTTTCTATTTCCTGCCTTTCTTCAGATTGTGTTTTTTTTTGTTGTTGTCTCTATTTCAGTTTTCAACCCTTGCAGTGTTTGCTTTGCTTCTTGCAATTTTCGGTTTATCTTTTCGTCCATTTGTTGCCTTTTATGAATTTTTTGGTTTGTTCTTTCTTCCATTTCTTGCATTTTTTGGTTTGTTTCTTCTTCCATTTCTTGCATTTTTTGGTTTGTTTCTTCTTCCATTTCTTTCATTTTTTGCTTTGTTTTTTCTGCCATTTCTTGCATTTTTTGCTTTGTTTCTTCTTCCATTTCCTGCCTTTTTTGGTATGTTTCTTCTTCTTCCAATTATTGCATTTTTTGCTTTGTTTTTTCTTCCATTTCTTGCATTTTTTTGCTTCGTTTCTTCTTCCATTTCTTTGAGGGATTTTCCTATATCCTCTTTTAGGGCCTCTATCATTTTCATGAAAGTGGTTTTAAGGTCGTTCTTTGCTGCTTCGTTCGCATAGGAATGTTGGAGTCTTGCTGGTGTGGAGTCTCTAGAATCTGGTGGTGTCATATTTGTTTTTCTGTTGCTGAGTGTGTTTTTGTGTTGTCTCTTTCCCATCTCTTCTTCTAGTGGGTGCAGAAAGATCCCCTTACTGGTCTGGGGACCAGAGTTCCCTTTTGGTGGGTGCTAGCAAGTCCAATAATCTGGTGGTTCTTCTATTCCTTGTCCTTGTTCTGGTCCCGTGGGTGGAGAAGAAGAACAGGAATCTGGGGCGCTTAGCCTCCTACCTGGTCCCCTGGACCCTATGCTGGATCCTGTTGTACCTGATCCTGTGGCTGGAACAGCTGCTCCCCTGGTCTCCCTGGCTCCTCTGGTTTCCTGGTCTCCTTGGTGGGAGAGAAGACCTGGAGTCTGGGGTGCTTAGCTCCCACCAGGATTGGAAGCTCTGTGCATTTCCCAGGCAAACCCCAGGCAATGGAACACAGGCCCAGAAGCAGGCCTGTTTACCTGATGCTGCCGCCGGAAGAGCTGTTTCCCTGGACCGAATGTGTGAAAGTTTTAATTACAAGTATCTATAATTTTATATTAGGATTCATCTGAAGTTCTTGGTCCTAACAAAGGATAAAGTACTTATCACTCTGGAGAATGGGCTCCTTGCAAAAAAATCTTCTAATGTAAGTCTATAAAGCCAAAGAGCACAAAAAATTAAACATTTTATTCTCTCTCTCTCTCTCTCTCTGTGTGTGTGTGTGTGTGTGTGTGTGTACACCACTACCAATGTGCATCTGCCTATACAGGCTCAAAGTTTTTATGTCAGGAATCTTCCTTGAGTGCTCTACCATTGTATTTATTTGAGGCAGGGTCTCTCAGTCAGACACAGAGCTAGCTCACCAGCTAGCTTGCTCTGGGCATTCTGCCTCCACATTCCAAGGCTGGTATTTAGTGAGTTCTGGGAATCAGGACTCCAGCCCTCTGAGCCACCTCCCCAGATCTTATCGTCTGTCCTCATGCCTCCTCTTATGCCTCACTTTACCATTGGAGCCTTTGTGGACTTGCATGAGAACAAAGTTTACTTATAAATGTGATTCTGTGTTATGTGGTCTTGAAGACACTGGTTAGGCAAAAGCATAGGGCAGCAGAGTTAATAAAGACAAAATAGATGACTGACTGACTTTGACGAGAGACATGTCACAGAAATCAGAGATTAAAAAGAAAAATCAAGATTTAACCCAAATGCCACTACTGTGACCCAGGTGTAGGAGGAAACAGTGTACTGTCGAACTGGAAGCTGGAAAGCCGGAAAAGAGAGCGAGACTTCTGCTGTTCAGGCTTTTATACCTTCCTCCGTAACACCCCTAGCCATGCCCAAAAGTGGGCCTGGCTAGTGACGTAGTTCACTGCCTAGGTCCATATACGTCTTTAGTCATGCCTAAAGTGGGTGTGGTTAGTGGTGTGGTAAACAGCCCTTTTATTACCTCATCTGTGTGCACCTCTAGTAAGTCACATGGTTAATGGCGGCACACTCTTTCCTCCTACACCCAGGAGCACTGTACATACAGGTGTTTGCCCCGGACTCACAGAAGTACTGTATTTTTACTTTGCTGTTTCCTGTGTGCTGTATGATAGTCCTTAAGATGTGGTTTGGAAGAGAGCATTAGATAAATACCTTATTAAAACATAATTAAATGAATTCACTTTTCACCTTTCTCCTGACATATTATGAGAAGGCACATTTGGCTTGTGTTAGTGTTACAGATCTGTGGACAGGAAGCTGCAGGACAGCTAGCTGGTCTCCGTCTTCAACTGTCTGAGATTCTTCTAAAGCTGGTCAAAACAAGCAAGCAACTCCCAGCACTTTTTCTTAAGTGATGGGCATTTTGAAAAGACTTTCACACTTTTTAAATTATGTGGACTTGGATGTGTCTGTGTTGGGGTTATGGGCATGTGAGTATGGGTGCTGGTGGGGGCCAGAGGTGTTGAGTACCCGGGACCTGCAGTTACAGGCACTTGTGAATCACATTACGTGGGTGCTGGGGAGCAAACCTGGCCCTCTGCAAGAGGAGTGTATGCTCTTAACCACTGAGCCATTCTCAGGACCCATGATGGAGATTTCCACTGTCCGTGAATGGCCTCCACAGAGACCTAGGTATGTACTGTTTTGTTTTTATCAACCTATGCAACAATGGGCACTGTATGCATTCACACACTACATGACTGCTTCCATGTCTGTGAACCCAGCCTCCTCTGTAAAAGTTGCATGGCTACTTCAGTGCAGCTGCATCTAGCCTCCCCTGTTTGTGGAAGTCAGTATAAGGCCTGGAAGGCAGAGGCTCACTACTCCCTTTGATCCTGAGAGACAAAAGCCCTTGGATACCTGCTAAATCTGTCAAATTAGCATCATACATCTATTCACACAACTGTTATAGTTGGTGTTTTGGGTGGAGTGAGTACATCAGAGTTCTCCAAGTGAAAATGGCCATACCAATGTAGGGTCACATTTTGAGTTAATCTCAGTAGTTACCTGGGACCCTGGGACTTATGCTTAATTGGCCTGAGCCTTTGTCACTAATAATTTGAGGAAAATTAATACCTTAGAGTATTAATACCTTATGAGCATTAAAGAAAAGTAACACATTTAAAACTCTGGTCTGAAAAGCAATGTCATTTTATTGCTCATTGGTATGTGTATAAAAAGCATGACTAATTTTGTGTAATTTCTTCCCCTAACTACATATTGAAAATCTATCAACTTCAGACTCCCTTCAAACTCTGGAGATCTCTTAGTAAAACCTGACACACTGCACTTGACTGAAGGGAGCACTTGAGGCTTAACGTAAAGGAAGGGTTGTGCAGAGTTGGGGCATTTTAGAATCCACTAGTCAGCTGTGTGTGTGTGTGTGTTTGTGTGTGTGTATAGATGTCTGCTGTTGAGTACTATAAACTGCTTGCAGACAGCAGTTCAACACGAGAGATGTGGAAGGAGGCTAGAAAGATGAAAATCCAGTGACTAAGTTCTTGACATTTCTTTGTGCCATGCTGAAAGCAGGCACTCTAGCCCAATGGTTCCATGGGCACACTCCCCCTGCAAGCTTCTAAGTGCTTAGCAGTGAATCTACCAGCTCCCGTCCAGCTGCCAGGGACATGAAGGCTGAGGCCACAGCTCACCAAGACAACATCTGTTCTGCAGAAGAGGTAGTGGTCAGAGACAGATGTGGCTGTGTTCCTCGCAGGTGGTGGCCTCATCAGCCGCAGACAGGTACAGCTTCCCATCGGGACACACACAAATCTCATAGAATCCCTTAGAACTGCCAGAGGGACCCGGTGTCCCTTGCTCCAACTCGGGCAAACCCACAGTCTCAGCATCAAGCACCAGCTGTTTGGGAGAAAGCGAGATATGAGACACGAGGAAGGAGGAATGAACTGCAGCAATCGAAACTCCCCGCATATTCCAAGATAGAGTTTCCTCCCGTTGGAAAGCTGGATACCTGCCTATACTTTAGTCCTTTCAAAATGGTCCCTTTCATTCTTTGTACAGGCCAGTCTGACAGCTCCTCCAGTGTGGAAAGAGGCCCTATTTTCTTTTATTCTTAGATGGGAAAACTGACCAAGTTTTACAATTAGTTCAGTAAACTAGATTGCTTTTCAATTTTGTTGTGGAATATCGTTTAAGATGTGTTACATTAATTTATGCTGTGGAATATATTTGTTTAATGATGTAAAGATGTGTTGCATTCTTTTATGTTGTATTTGTTTAACTCTCTAAAGCTGTGCCACTTTGCCTGTCTAAAACACCTGTTTGGTCTAATAAAGAGCTGAACAGCCAATAGCTAGGCAGGAGAGACAAATAGGCAGGACTGGCAGGCAGAGAGTATAAATAGGAGGAAAAATCTGGAAAGAGGAGATCAAGGAAGGAGTAAAGGAGAAGGAGGAGGACCAGGAGCCAGCCACAGAGTAAGAAGTAACAAAGGGTATATAGGATAAAGATAAAAGCCCAGAGGCAAAAGGCAGATGGAATAATTTAACTTAAGAAAAGCTGGCTAGAAACAAGCCAAGCTAAGACGAGGCATCCATAAGTAAGAATAAGATTCCATGTTTTTATTATGGAGCTGGGTGGGGGCCCCCAAAGAACTAAGAGTAAAACCAACCAACTACATACTCATAAAAAATGCCTTTTGAAATTATTTAACAAAACTGGTATAACTGTTATGTCAATTCACACTTGTGATCGCATTGAGTTTATGCTAAAGTGTCCCCTTCCCATCAGGATAACATGCATGTTATTCACAGAAATGGGTTCATCTTTATTTTTGCCTGTGGATGTGTGAGTTTATCCTGATTTTATCTGTGATCTTTTTCCTAAGAGAGACACTTGAATTCACTCACTAGCTTCCAACCGTTCCCTAAACTCTTAACAGTATTTGAAGCCATTCTGTCTTCTACTAAATGCTGGATGCAGTAGGCCTGAACACTACAGCTAGGACAAGCACTGTGGAAACCACCGGGTTTGTTAAGGAGCAGCATAAGCAAAGAGCCATTGATGGGGCAGGGGAACCATTCTCCCAAGGACGTGAGAACAGTTGCCTGGAGCAGCTTGCCCCACCTCCCAACACTTGCTCCTCAAAAGGAAGTTTCAGTGCTTTGTAGGCTGGCATAATGTCTTCATTGTCAACCAGCTTGGAGCTCTCTTTAATTCCAATAGCTCTCACCGTGAATTCCCATCTCCTAGTGAGCTGCCAGCGCACTGCTAGCTGCAGGACAGACAGCTTGCACTGTGTGGCCTTGCATAGCAGCAGAGCAGAGGCAATCCAGTGGGCACCGTGCCATGCCAGGGGATCTTTGGAGACTTCCTCTCCCCTGGGAGGCTGTTACTTGGGCCTCTCAGCCCTGTCCTGTGTTGTGGTTAGTAGGTTAATTTGTCCAGTTGTTTCTTTTCCTCCACTGGCAGCCCATACTGTTTTGCTGTCAGTATGTTAGGCTGGAGTCCAAACATCTTTGTCGCCTCTGTCCAGTCATGGGGAATGGCAACTGGAAGTATAGGTCCCACTGTGTGTTACCTACAGAAATGCTGCCTGATTCACAGAAGGAAAGATGACTATTTAAAAACATAAGCTTTGTGCAGTGTGTGGTGATACCGTGTCTCCATTGTAACTGAAGTTTTGTTCAGTGTCTGGTCATACTGTGTCTCCAATAGTAACTGTGGCTTTGTGCAATGTATGATGATACTGTGTCTCCATGATAGCTGACGATTTGTGCAGTGTGTACTGATACTGTCTCCATAGTAACTGAAGCTTTGTGCAGTGTGTGATGATACCATGTCTCCCTGGTAACTGAAGCTCATGCAGTGTGTGGTGATACCGTGTCTCCATAGTAAGATTAAAAAATCCTTGACTCCATCTCTATCTTGGCCAGCTCTGGATCTCACAAACTCCCAAGTTTCAGTTTGTAGATGACTTTTATGTCCTCCCTGAGGGTGCTCATTGACTGGCTTCTGTCCACATACCTGAAGTGGCTCCTCATGACCTTCTTTAGGACAGCACTATGTATCCTAACTACATTTTCTTATTCATGTTAAATGAAGGTCATTTCAAATGTTACATTAGTACCTAGAGACCACAAGACATGATTAAGCAAGTATTTCCCCCATTTGTTTAATGAGGAGACAGGCACAGAGGACCGGCAAACTTTCCAGAACTCAGATACCTATCTGAATTAGAGGATTGATGACCCACAGGCGTGCAGGCTTCAGACTTGCAACTCTTCTGTGCACCACACTCCTTGTACTGTGTCTTACAGTCTCTACTAACTGTTCCTGGTACAAGCCTGGGGCAGAGCTTGGGAGGAAGCATGTAACCACTGTACTAGTGACTTAGAACAACACTACACACACACACACACACACACCTGGGAAGCAGGAGTGTAAGTACACACAGCTATACCTACACTACAAAAGAACATTATGGTGGGGCTGTTTAAAGAGACTTCATGAATCTATGCATTATTTGACCAATCTGCAATATGTACTATAATGGCTACAATTAGCTTTTGCCCCAACCTGTCACCTTTCTGTGGACTTGATAGGCAGCCTGGAATTCCTGATCTCCCCACTGACTGAAGCTGAGCTTTCACCTTCTTTTAATAAAGAAAATTCTATAAATCATGGTGTAGGGTGTGTCTGTTCTACTGTCTTTCTAGACTTGAGTCCTAGAAAGCAACCTTACTGTAGTTGACCTTTGGAAAAATACTTGTTTTTCCTTGTTCATGTAAATTCTGTACAACAAGCAGAGTGCTCTGGGCAACAACAGGGGACAGTTGCTGTTTATACATAACCCCATGCTGTGAAACATCGAGTCACTAGGAAATGCAAAAGTTGATGTCTGCATGTCCCAAATGTCTGCAGTGCATTTTCACAACTGAGAATAACAAGTGACTTGGTGATGCAGATGCCAGTGTAAGAAGGTGAGCCACTATGGAATGAATAAAACCTTCTGTAGCCCTTTCCAGTTCATCCGTGTGCTCAGTTCTCCCCACACTGTCTATGCTATGCCTGTCTTCATGTTTATCACAAGCCAGCAGAAGGCTAGCACACTGGTGGAGGTAGCACTCAGGTGCCTCAGCAGCACATCCAGTCAGAGCTGTCATTGAACTCACCACTCCATCACTACTCTGCAAGATGATGTCCATTTGAGAAAGGGCCTCCATCTTCCCCGTGTGAGCTTTAATGTGAACTCCCCTTGGGGCATCCATGCTTAGACTCCGGGTTGGGGATTCTAACCTGAAATTTGAAAAAATAAATGTTAGAAGCCACTTTGGCGCTAGGGACAACAGCCAAGACACTTCAAGCCCAAGCTTCTCAGAGCCTAAGGGGGGGAGAATGGCTCCGGTGAGCAGTTCTGAGCCAGGGAGGACAAACAGACTGAAGGAGGACAATAAACGACCATACCAAACTTTCAGCATGTGGCCTAATATAGAAAGTGGGATGTAGATGCTCCAAGAGCTTGACTCTGAATGTTGACCTGCTCTGTCGCATACATCTAGAAATCATGAGGGCTCTAGTTTGCAACCAGGGGGAGAAAGGGCTTATGCCAGCTTTCAGCTTACAGTCCATCACTGAGGGAGGCCTGGGCAGGAACTCAAGGCAGGAACTCATGGAGAAATGCTGCTCACCAGCTCTCTTTCCATGGCTTGCTCAACCTGCTTTCTTACATCGGCCATCTGCGCAGGGATGGCATGCCCACGGTGGACCAGGTCTTCCCACATCAATCGTCAATCAAGAAATACCCCACAAAAAGTTCACAGGTCCGTCTGGTGAAGGCAGTTCTTCAATTGGGGGCCCCTCTTCCTAGGTCACTCTAGCGTGTGTCTCGTTGGCAACAACTATCCTACACAGTGGGTAGCAGAGAAATAAGTGCCCTACTAGTGACAGCCTATGAAAGTAGTGTTCTCCGTCCACAGCTACAGTCAGCAGACCGCTGTCACCTTGTGTAGATGACACTGCAGAAAAACACGCCATGGGTGAACAGCTTAACAATAGTATTTAGTTAATATCCAAACTCTCAGGGGAGGAACAAAAGAGACAGGTTTAAGGACAAATATATTTGCCATGAGATCAGAAAATTTGGCCTTGTTTTCACTTCTTAAAAAAAAAAAACTTTTGACCGGGTGTTGGTGGCGCACGCCTTTAATCCCAGCACTCAGGAGGCAGAAGCAGTTGGACTCTGTGAGTTCGAGGCCAGCCTGGTCTACCGAGCCAGTTCCAGGACAGCCTCCAAAACAATACAGAGAAACCCTGTCTCAAAAAACAAAACAAAACAAAAACCTTTTGAAATTGTTTTTTTACATGTGTGTGTATGAACATGCAAGCATATGTTCACATGATTTCACACTCTCAACACATAGTAGAGATCATGTGTGCGCACATGCAGGTGGAGACCAGCAGACAGCCTTTGGCGTTGGTCTTTTGGAACAGTGGAACAGTCCACTTTTAATTTTTCTGGGATATGGTCTCTCATTGATCTGGAGCTTGTTGATTAGGGAAGGCTGGATGGCCAGCGTGCCTAAGATGTCCCTGCCACTTCCTCATCACCACGGTTACAGGCACGCATGCCACTGTCCCTGATTCCTTTATGTGTTTGTTTGTTTGTTTCCCTTATTTGCTTTTATGGATAGAACTCAAGTCATCATGACTGTCCGGCAGCACTTTACTGACAGCTGTCTCCCAGCTTTTCCTTTTTAAGTCTCTTTAAGTTCAGCCAGATCTGAGGGCAGCTGGGAGGAATTCTTTTGAAAATGCTGAAGTGATAAGGTTAGGAGACAGGATGTTTGTTGGCTTTCTGAAGGGTCCTAGGAATGAATTTAGTGGAGTTTTTTCAGTGCTGGGCGTGAAACCCAGGACCTCATGCCTGCTGAGCAAGCACTTGACCTTGGCACCTTTCCCCCAGCCCTGGAGAGACTTTTAAATCAGATGGATCCATGTTTAATTGGAAATTTCTGTCTTGTTTTAATTTATTCCTGCATGTAATTAGCATGTATTAATTGTACAAAGGGATGAGTTCTGTTCTGACCCTTTGCACACATGTAATGTGCTCTGATCGGACTCACCTCCCATCGCCCTTTTCAACACCCTGTCCCCTCCATCACTATGCAGAACATAAGACAAAATTTCACTTGTGTCCATGCACCGGAGATGTCAAATCTGAGCACTGTACATGTTGAAATCTTGCTTTGAATGCAAGAATACCCTAAAGGACGTATATGGGGTTTACTGGTCTAAGCAGGTTTGGCTTCATTTGTTTGACGCTGGTGAGTCTTCACTTGCTTGCTCCGGCTGCCTGTTCATGCATCTGGGTCATGGGTGCTCTGCTGTGACCTGTACTTTTCTTTCATTATTTTTATTACATTTTTTAAGAAAAGAGCTTGTTTCACTTGTCAATCCCAGCTCCATCTCTCTCCCCCTCCTCCCACCCCCCCACCATCTCCCCCAGCCTCCCACCCTATCCCCACTTCCTTCTACATAAGGGATAACCAGAGTCTGTCATTTCGTTCAGGGCAGGGTTCAGGCACTCCCCCCAAGAGTCCAGGCTGAGAGAGCATTCCTCTTTGTGTTATGGATACATCAAGTCCGTTTGTATGCCAGGGATAAATACTGATCTGCTGCCCAGGGCCCAATAGGTTTCCCAGGCCTCTTCACTGACTCTCATAGTCAGAGGGTCTGACTCAATCCCATGCTGGCCACCCAGCTATCGGTCTGGGGTCCAAGAGCTCCCCTTTGTTCAGGTCAGCTGTCTCTGCTGGTTTTGCCAGCCCATTCTTTGTCCATTTGCTCATCACTCCTCTCTCTCTCTCTCTCTCTCTGTCACTGGGTTCCATGGGTTCAGTTCAGTGTTAAGCTGTGGGTGTTTTCCTCTGCTTCCATCAGTAACTGGATGAAGGTTCTAGGATGGCAAATAAGGTAGTTGTCAAGTTCATTATCAAGAATGGGCATTTAAGGTAGTCTCTCCATCATTGCTTAGCTTGCCAGTTGGTGTCATCCTTGTAGATCGCTAGAGGTCTCACTGGTGCCAAATCTCTCTTCAAACCTATAATGACTCCCTCTATTATGGTATTTCTCATCCTGTTCCCCCCCCTATTCTTCCCCCAACTCAACCTTCTTGCTCTCCCATGGCCTACTCTCTCCTCCTCTTCTCCCCTTCTCTTCTTCCCATCTCCTACAACCCCCACCCACCCTTCGCCATGTTCCCAATCTGTTCAGGAGATCTTGCCTCATTCCTCTTCTCTGGGGTACCATGCATATCTCTCTTAGGATCTTTCCTGTTTCCCAGACACTCTGTCAGTGGAATTGCAGACTGGCACCCCCCCTGATCCGTGTCTAAAATCCATATATGAGTGAGTACATACCATGTTTGTCTTTTTGTGACTGGGTTACCTCACTCAGGATGATTTCTTCTAGTGCCATTCATTTGCCTGCAAATTTCAAGATTCCATTGCTTTTTTCTGCTGAGTAATACTCCATTGTGTAAATGTACCACATTTCCTCTATCCACTCTTCAGGTGAGGGGCATCTAGGTTGCTTCTAGGCTTTGGCTATTACAAATAATGCTGCTATGAACATAGTGGAACAGATGTCCTTGTTGTATGAATTTGCATCTTTTGGACATATGCCTAAGAGTGGAATTGCTGGGTCTTGGGGTAGACTGATTGCCATTTTCCTGAGGAATCTCCATACTGATTTCCAAAATGGATGTACGAGTTGGTACTCCCACCAGTAGTGGAGGAGTGTTCCCCTCTCTCCACATCCTCTCCAGCATAAATTGTCTTCAGTGTTTTTGATTTTAGCCCTTCTGACAGGAGTAAGATGGTATCTCAGAGTTGTTTTGATTTGTATTTCCCTGATGGCTAAAGATGTTGAGCACTTTCTCAAATGTCTCTCAGTCATTTTAGACTCCACTATTGAGAATTCTTTTTATTATTATTATTATTATTATTATTTATTTTAAAGTTTAAATTTAGATTAGAAACAAGGTTGCTTCACAAGTCAATTCCAGGTCCCTCTCCCTTTCCCTCCCCTCCTCCCTTGCCCTCCCTCCAGCCCCCCCATTATCCCCTCATCTCCCCAGGGAGGGTGAGGCCCTCCATGGGGGTGTCCATAGTCTGTCATTTCATCCAGGGAGAATTCTTTATTTAGTTCTATATCCCATTTTTTAATTGGATCCTTTGGTGCTTTGGAGACTTGTTTCTTGAGTTCTTTGTAAATTTTGGAGATCAGCCCTCTGTCAGATATGGGGTTAGTGAATATCTTTTCCCATTCTGTGGGCTGTCTTTTTGTCTTGTTGACTGTGTCTTTTGCCTTACAGAAGCTTCATAGTTTCAGGAGGTCCCATTTGTTAATTGTCGATGTCAGTGTCGTGCTACTGGTTTTATGTTCAGGAAGCAGTCTCTTGTACCAATTCGTTGAAGAGTATCTCCCACTTTCTCCTCTAAGAGTTTCAGTGTAGCTGGATTTATGTTGAGGTCTTTGATCCATTTTGACTTAAGTTTTGTGTATGGCGATGGACATAGATCTATTTGCAATCTTCTGCATTCCAATATCCAGTTATGCCAGCACCATTTGTTGAAGATGCTTTCTTTTTTCCATTGTATAGTTTTAGCTTCTTTGTAAAAAATCAAGTGTGTGGGTTAAAATCAGGGTTTTTAACTCGATTCCATTGGTCTACCCGTCTATTTTTGTGCCAATACCAAGCTGTTTTCAGTACTATAGCTCTATAATAGAGCTTGAAGTCAGGGATGGTGATGCCTCCTGACGTTCCTTTATTGTACAGGGTTGTTTTGGCTATCCTGGGTCTTTTGTTTTTCCATATAAAGTTGATTAATGTTCTTTCCAGGTCTGTGAAGAATTGTGCCGGAATTTTGATAGGGATTGCATTGAATCTGTACATTGCTTTTGGCAAGATTGCCATTTTTATTATGTTGATCCTACCAATATTTTCTGGTGTCTTTTTTGATTTCTTTCTTTAGAGACTCAAAGTTCTTTATATACAGGTCTTTCACTTCTTTGTTTAACATTATCCCCAGATATTTGATGCTGTTTATGGCTATTGTAAATGGTGATGTTTCTCTGATTTCTTTCTCAGCCAATATATCATCTGTATACAGTAGGGCTACTGATTTTTTTTGAGTTAACCTTGTATCCTGCCACTTTGCTGAAGGTGTTTATCAGCTGTAGGAGTTCCCTTTCAGAGTTTTTCGGGTCACTTATGTAAACTATCATATCATCTGCAAATAGTGAAAGTTTGACTTCTTCTTTTCCAATTTGTATCCCCTTGATCGCCTTTTGTGGTCTTAATGCTCTAGCTAGAACTTCAAGTACAAAAGTGAAGAGATATGGAGAGAGTGGACAGCCTTGTCTTGTTTCTGCTTTTAGAGGAATTGCATTGAGTTTCTCTCCTTTTCGTTTGATGTTAGCTGTTGGTTTACTGTATATTGCTTTTATTATGTTCAGGTATGTTCCTGTTATTCCTGATCTGTCTAGGACCTTTATCATGAAAGGGTGTTGGATTTTGTCAAAGGCTTTTTCAGCATCCAGTGCGATGATCATGTGGTTTTTCCTTTGCAGTTTGTTTATATGGTGGATGACATTGATAGATGGAAAGGAAAAACACTGAAGCAGCTCCCATAGACCTGCTGCATTTCAGGCAAATCCCAGGCGACTTTGACAGTCTCAGTGAAGATGTGTAGATAGGTCTGTTTCCTAAGATCAGTTACTAAATGCAGATAAAGCATGATCCAAACCATTAAAACGCCAGGGAAAGGTGCACTCGGAGGAAGGCTCTGGAATGAGTGCAAGGGTGGTATGGAGTCTTTAGCATTCTAGACTTTCAAGTGAAAGAATGACATATTCACTACGTCATGATTTTGAATATGTCATTCTTGCACTTGAAAGTCTGCAATGTCCTCGGCAGTTCTGTTTTATGTGTGGAAAGTATTAAATCCATGAACTTCACTAGACTGCTAAAGACTGCACACCTCTAGACAACAAGGAAGACACATTGAAATTCCAGAATCACAAAAGCAGCGGGAGCCCCTCAGATAGAAGACATTCTCCTGCTGAGATCAAGGCAGAAGCCAGAGGCTCTCAGAGCCCAGCCGAAAGACAAGGAACTAGGTCTGTGTCCTTGCCAAGGGGTACATTTGCTGCCAGGGCCTCTAAGGAGTTAAGGTTTCTGTTCCTGGAACCTTGACCTTTCTCCCTGAGGAGACCAGAGTTATCCATTCCAGGCTGCTGTGTGCTCCATCTGTGACATACTTGAGATATGTGATCCCTTGTGCAACCTTGCTGGATTAGCTTGCTGCTGATGTCATCCCATTGTGACAGCTTTCTTTCCCCCTCCCCCACACCCACCTGCAAAATGTATACAAGATGCTGCACTTCTATTAACTCGCTTGGCATAAACCATCAGCGTACGCAGTATTTCCTGGTCCCAGCTTTCCTATATTCTTTATTTTCTCATCCCTGGCCAGCCTTTTAGGGTCCTGTCACCCAAGAACAACTTGCTGGTCCCAGTCAGTCACCAGTATCCCCCAGCTACGTTAAAATACACCCACCCCCGCATCACACAGATCAGTAAGAGGAATGGAAAGTCTTTAAAAGATTCTGAAAGGAAGTAGGGTGTTTATAGAAAATCAGATCTTCCACAATGAATGATATCTTTAAGGACACAGTTTTTGTGGTAAATTGTGTGTGTGTGTTCATGATCATGATTGTGAGCACACATATAGTAGTACAAGTGGCCTTGGGGGCTAGAAGAGGGTATCAGATGCCCTAGAACTGGGAATAAAGACCGTTATGAGCTGCCATGTGGGTGCTGGGAATGGAACCCAGGTCCTTTGGAAGAGCAGCCAGCGCTCTTAACTGCTGAGCCATCTCTCCAGCCCATGCACTTATTTTTCTTATCCAGTACTTCTCAGAATACCTTTATTTAAAAAGAATTATTTTGTGTGGGGGGGGCTTGCATGCCCATCTGTCTGTCTGTCTGTCTGTGTTTGCCGTGTGTGTGGTTTCCCCAGGAGGCCAGAGGAGTGGAGCAGGAGATACGGGTGGTTGTGAGCATGTCTGTGGGACTATCTATATTAGGTTGACGGAGGTAGGGGCGTCTATCTGCTCACTGAGTTTGGCGTCATTCCCTGGGGTGGGTCCTAGGCTGAACAAAACCGCATCAAGTAAGCTGAGCACAGACATTCATCCCCGCCCACTTTCTAATTGTGAGTCAGAGCAATCAGACCAACCACTTCAGGCATCGCTGGCCCCGACTTCCCATGAGCTGATGTAACCCTTTTCTCCCTGAGGATTGTGTCAGGGTAGTCTATCACAGAAACAAGACAAGAAACTAAGGCAACACCCAAAGAGAAACGCAAGTTAAAACAGCACCGTGGCTATATATGATCCCAGCTAGAACAGTGACCAAAGAGAACAAAGTCCCCTTTGCCCAGGTGGGCCACTGTGTCAGGATAAAGCCGAATTCTCCTTCCCGGACACCAGTAGTTGGGTCCCAAAAGAGACAACAGGATCTGAAAACTCTCTTAGGTTGGTGATGCCTGCTAACATGTGTCAGAAAGCCTTTAAATAAAGAAGGTAGAAAGTCCAGGACCAAGGCGCCTGAGACTCAGTGTCTTGTCACTCCACATGTCCTGCAGCACGGATGCCCATGTATTGCTCTGAGAAACAATACACTAAGAAAAATGAAGACAGGACTACAGAATACGCTAACCTTTTGACCAAGAACAGGAAGGAAGCCCGAGAAATATGCCAGGAACAGATTACCGAGAGACCTGGACTGTTCTTACTCAGTTTCTATTTCTGAATCCAGTCAAAAATGAAAGTCATAGTAAAGACTATAATGCAACCAATAAATAATCAGACTTTGTGGGGAGGGGAAGGGTGACCAGCAGACTCCCGCAGTCTATGGAGCCTGCACAGAGGCAGTGGGGACAAGAGAGGAAGAGCCATGGAACCATAACGAAGTTTAGACCCAACAGGGCTTTGGGTTCTAATAAGTAATCACCAGTTAGTTACACAATGAAAGCCCTGATAGTCAAGGGGATTGAGGCAGTAAGAATTGATACCGGGACACTGTGAGCATCTGTCTCGTTGTGTGACGCACACCTCATGGTTTGTTATAAGAAAGTTTGATTATATTGGAAGCAAACTCCTTACCGAAGGTCTTCAAATGGGTCAGCTCTGACAAGGGGTGTCTCCACTGAGTGTTCGAAAATAGCGCCTTCTGGCCCTAAACAAAGCCCAGAGATTGTATCAGAACAAAATACAAGAAGTGGAGTCAGCCGAATCAAACAGCCAGTCCAGCCAAGAGGCAGAGCATCCCTAATCCCAGATCCAGAGTTTTGGAGGATTGGCTTAACCATTGGGAGTAGAAAGTTCCAACACTACCTCATGTGATGGGCTGCGGTCAAAATGCAAGCTCGTGAAACCCATTGTTATACAGATCATTACCTTCCAGCTACAGAACAAGTGATAGTAGTCATCAGAGTTTAAAAAGAAACAACTCACGTTGGCATTGCATCTACCTATGTGTTTTTCAGTAATACTAAGTTGGTGTGGTGTGGTGTGTGTGTGTGTGTGTGTGTGTGTGTGTAGAACAGTTGTGTCTTATGTTATTTGTTTCTAAGAACCAGTTTTAAATTCTAAACATCTGAAATAGCCCCCTTGTGTTTCTGGAACTAGGAACTCAGTCCATTTATCAGAGAACTTGATCACAGGCAAGAATGTGCCTAGGGTGCAGAGATACAGGAGCGGGTGACCCGCACACTGTGGGTCCTATCTTACGTTTAGCTGTCATTTGAGACCAGCGCGTGCATTTTAAGTCTGCATACTGTGGGCCTTCATTACCTAAGTAGCAAGCCATGTGGGCTGGAAAGCCATGCTGTGGTTAAAGCACAGCTCCTTACCAACCTGAAGGCAGCAGGGCAGACTGTGGCACGTGGTGGTTAGTACAAACCTTGCGATAAACAGTCATTTGTGACATTCGACTTTTGCAGGTAAGGACCAGGCAAAGCAGCAGGGCTGACGGCGCCAAGGACACGAGAAAAAAATGGGTGATCCTGTGAGCTGGGCACAGAGGTTCCGCAGGGTGATACAAATCCATGGAGTTTTATGGGCACATGCACAGATTTTAGCAGTGGTGCTTCATCTATTTACAGCCAGGTTTATTTATCCAAATAAGATTTGCCTGGCCTAGGTTCTGCCAGGCCAAAGCTTAGCTCCTGCCTGGGTTCCTCTCTTGTCTAGACTCCACCCCTGACTGGGTCCCTCCCAGGTTTAGGACACACCCTACCTGAACCTCACCTATAACCAGGCCCCACCCTCAATCTAGGCACGCCCCATGCCTCGGGCACCCCCCATGCCTCGGGCACCCTGGTAAAAATTTATGTTACCTAGTTTGTTTTCTATTGCTTTGATAAACACTATAACCAAAAGCAACATGGGAGGAAAGGGTTTATCTTAGCTTAAAGTTCCAGGTCCAACACGAGGGAACTCAGGCAGGAACTGAAAGAGAGCATGGAGGAAGGCTGTTGACTGGCTCACTTCCGTGGCTTAGCCTGCTTTCTCATACAATCCAGCACCATCTGCCAGGGCTGGCACCGCCACAATGTGCTGGGTTCTCCCACGTCAATCAAGTGAACGCCCTATATTGTACATATGTTGGGGAATAACCTTTTTGTACACTGTGAAGATTTGCCACTGGAATTGGCCAATAGTCAATTGAATGGCCAATAGCTAGGCAGGATTTTCAGGGCAGAGAGGATGTTGGGAAGTACACAAGGAGTACACAAAGAGAAAAAAGCATGGGCAGTACAGAATAAAGGTAATAAAGTCACAAGGCAGAAAGTGCATTAATAGAAATGGGTTAATTAAGTTATAAGAGCTAGTTAGAAACAAGCCTAAACTATCGACTAAGCTTTCATGATTAATAACAAGTCTCTGTGTTGTGATTTGGGTGCTGGCAGGAGGGACAGAAAAATCTTCATACAGACATCCCTACGTGCCACCTGTTTTTGAATGAATGCTACTCCTGGGAAGATCTGCGTTAAGCCTTGAGCACTAGACTGGTTGCAGTGGTGAAGGTGGGGGATGGTTCACTGGGTAGAGTCCAACAATCATGGAGTTCACAGACAGCCCAGTGCCAGGTAGCTTCAGGTGGCTCCATTCTTCCTGACAGGCTTCCTTCAGATTCCTCCACTACAGGGAATTCAATATTAACCCTTTACTTGAATAGGAGATGTACATATACAGACACTTGCTACATCCATGCATCTTTGCTGCTAAGTGTTTATTAAGGTCAATTCCGTACAGTCATTGACCATTTGTAGACTGTCACAGGCTTTTCAGATGATGTAAAATAATCCCATTGTTCCCATCACTGCCACACTGTGTGGCATCTGCACAAACCCCCACTCTATTCCCAGTGTAAACGCTTCAAATTGCTTCTTGCCTTTAGTCCCCCATGGACATGTTCTTTCTAGGACAGTAGTAACCTCCATGATGGTAACTCCAAGGCCAATTTCTATATTTCCTGGACTCAAATTCTGGAACATCAGCTCTTCTGGCACCAGGATCGTGGCTACTGAGATACTCCCGCCCCCTCACTGTCTCCTCTCTCCCACTTGTGGCCTCACACTGGCATTCTCGAAGCTTAGTTGGTGTGTAATGCTCACACATGCTCACTCAAGGCTTCTGCTCTGAGTGTCCATAGATGCACGGTCAATAGCTGAGGTGATGTCCTCATGGCTGATCCTCAAGCATCCTCAGCATAAGAATGTAAGATGTTGTTATCTGCTGTTGCTCCTTGTGGTGTGGTATATGGTGTATTGTGCCCCTCCTCCTCCGAGTTTATTCATCACCCCCATTTTCCCCAGATGCTGTCACCCCAAAGATCTCCTTATCTCAGCCCTTAACTGGGAGTGACCCACTTCCTTCAGAACACTGCTACCCACTCTGCAGGTCACCATCCACTTGCCTGGATGTGAATACACTCCCAGGCTCATGCGTTTTAATATTAGGTCTCTAGCTGTTGGTGTAGTTTGGAGAGGTTGTGGAGCCTTTAGGAGGTTGGCCTAGCAGGTTGCTAGGGGCAGACCTTGAGGATCATTGCTCCTCTAATTTCTGGTCTGAGCTGTCCTGGTTCATCAACTCTCTCAGTTGCAGAGCAAGCAGGCTCAGCCTCCATGGCTTCTTTCCCACCATGAACTGTTATCTCCTTTCCTCCATCATGTGGCTTCTGGCAGATGCTTTGTCACAGGGACGAGAAAAGTAACTGATGCACTACTAAGCCAGAAATTCTAGGGTTGAATGCAACAAATGCTGACATAACAAGCCCCCAGGTACTTCTCATGCACACAGGTAACTTACACTGCAACTGCTCATCAGGTTTCTTGTCTGATTCACTTACAGTGCCACAATCTGAAAGAAACCCCAGGCTAGGGAATGGTTCATTCTCTGTGATGGACAGCTTGGGTTTGATGAAATCCAAGTTTCTGTTTATACTCTTTTCTCTACACCCTGCAGTGCAATAGTGCTATGATACTTTCCCAAGAGCTGTGCTGACTTTGTGTACATTAATCTTGGTCCACCAGCAAGAGTAGATTAGTGGTACCAACACTCTCTTACACATCAGGAGACAGACCTACTGACAATTTGCATGGAGCTAGTATAGAAATAGCATCAAGGCCAAGAAAGCCAATGTTTCCCATACTGGTGGTTCTCAACTCATAATGATGCTGTGTTCCAATAGCCATGTTATACACTGATAATATCCCAAGTGGAAGATAACATCTACCTGCCAACCATACCATCTCAGCAGCGTAGACCACTGTAGAGTGAAGCAGTTCAATTGTATTCAAGGACTGAAAAGGAAATGTGGTATTGGTCACTGTAGCTGTGCAGCCATGAGGATGGGATGATATGAAGCTAGTCCAGGAAAATGAGCACATGAACAATTCCAGCTGGTTCCTACTAAACGTGTGTCATGTCTCCATCATTACAAGGCAGACAAGTTAAAGCATATGTATTTTGGGCCAGTGGCTTCTATGTCAGATACTTAGCTACTTGCTAAGCAATAATATTGTGTGTGTGTGTGTGTGTGTGTGTGTGTGTGTGTACATGCCTCTCCATGTAGCCCAAGTCTCGAATTCATGATCTTCTGCCTCTCCTCTGAGTGTTTAGACTACAGGGACCTGCCTGCCCCTCCCACCAGCTTCAATTTCTCATCTTTGGCAAACCTAGTATCTTTTAGAAAGAAAGGAAGCTGATGCCTCCTTGGCATAGTCTGTAACATTATATCATCACTTTAGGGAGTGCTTGGGAACAATGCATATGTCACAATCAGGACTGAGTCTATTCCTTAGTAACACTGCATGAGAGAATAATGCTACTATTGGTCTTCTGATTAGTGCAGGAAAAAGTTCTGGGAGGGTCTTAAACACACCTGTGTGCTTGTCCCTCTAGTCTTCCAGAAGCATAGCAAGCACATCTACGACAGGTTCTGAAATGCTTCTCACAGAATTTTTTATACTGAAAGTCAACCCAGTGAGAGCTCAATTCCACTTTAGAATCAACCAGGGAAAGGCTGTTTTGTGGGCACATGGGGTACTCAAGCATCTGGCATTGAGGGAATAAAACAGATATGTGAACTGTACAGAGAGAGGTGTAAGCTGTTGGCTACAGCGAATAGAAAAGAGATAAAGAAGAAAGAAGGTGGGCAAAGCTCTATGAGGAAGGCATCGTCTGTCAGGTTCAAGCAGAATGTCAGAGGAAGTGCCAGGAAGAAGCATGAGCAGCCGGGTACTTTTCCTTACAGAGTGCAGAGCAGATGCGTGAATTGCAGCTGCAGCCGGTAGTCACCACGTACCGGTTACTCGCAGTCTGCCGGTATCGACCATGACACCCCGCTCCTCGGCGGTGAACAGTGGCTTGCCGTCTTCAGAACGGATCTGGAAGTGCTGGCTCTGGACTTCTACCATTTGGGCACCTGAAGGACCAATCAGCACAGGGTATTAGAAGTGCTTGATGTCAGCAGCATGGGTTCCGTTTTCACAACTGCTGTGTCCCCACCAAACCACGGAGCGTGCCCGGGTTCCACATGAGCGCCACAGCGTGCACCTCCCCACCCCACCACAATTGTAATACAGAACTTGTATTGGTTTTGGTGACGGATGTAGTTAGGAATTAAAGCTCTCAGTTTGCCCAACTTTCTTTTTCTTAAGATGTGGTTTATAAGCAATAGTAGAGAGACTACCTTAAATGCCCATCCCTGATAATGAGATTGATGACTACCTTATATGCTATCCTAGAACCTTCATCCAGTGACTGATGGAAGCAGAGGCAGACACCCACAGCTAAACATTGAACTGAACTCCTGGAACCCAGTGACAGAGAGGGAGGAGTGATGACCAAAGGGGTCAAGACCAGGCTGGAGAAACCCACAGAGACAGCTGACCTGACAAGGGAGAGCTCTTGGACCCCAGACTGATGGCTGGAAATCCAGCATGGGACTGATTCGGACCCCCTGAATGTGGGTGTCAATGAGGAGGCCTAGGCAATCTATGGGGCCTTGGGTAGTAGATCAGTGTTTACCATGGTGTACGAATGAACTTTGTGAGGCCATCCCATATGGGCTCTCTCAGCCTAGGCCCTCCCCCAGATGAAGTGACAGACTCTGGAGATTCCCCCATGGAGGGCATCACCCTCCCTGGGGAATGGTGTGGGGATTGGGTGGGGGTTTGGAGGGGCTGGTAGAGGGGCAAGGGAGGAGGGTGGGAGAGAGAGCTGGGATCAACATGTGAGGCAAGCATGTTTCTAATTTAAATAAAAAATATATTGAGAAAAAAAGATGTGGTTTAACCTTTATATATATATATATATATATATATATATATATTCCAGGGTCACTAGCGTCTCTTATATATGTTAATATCGACTCTTGTTGAATGAAACATAAGTTTTTCTGACAAAAAATATGGGACAATAGGAAACTTCTGCAGTGCAGTCTCACTGCTTCACTCGATGTGCACTGCACATGGATTCATTCATTTCTATGAAAAGAAATGCTGGGTAAGATGGAAAGTAAAGGGATTCCCAGCTCCCCAGGGCAATGAACAGGGAGGAGGAGCAGGGGAAGAGGAAGCTACAATTACTGCTGTGGGTCTGGGGTCATTCAAACATCTACCAGGCTAACCATGAGTAAATTTTAACAAAGAAGAGTCTTTCATTTATACACTGGAGCCAGGTCTACAACCAGGATTCAGGATCCCCAAACATAGCACCAGCCACCCCTGCCACATTAGACAGGGTTTGTAAAAGCAAAGAATACTAAGTTGTGTTCTGTCAAGCAGAAGGTCATCCTGAGCAAAACAAGGTTCCTGTCTTTCCAGAAGCAGAAACAGCAGTTGACCTCATGACCTTGTATAAACAAGATGATGGCTAATGCTTTGTTGATGGCTAACTTCATGTTTAAAACTTTGCTTTAAACTATAAAGCAAAACTGGATTTCTAAATGTGAAGAGCTATTAAGAGTTGATTTTTTTAATTGCCTGGTCTTGTACAATTTTAACAAAACTATTGTTTATACCCTTGTTTTGTCTCAGAATTTGTTCTGTGACCTCTGTAGTTTGGTGCTCAGAAGAGTGAGTGCTATCATCACATGCTGGTGCGTTTTCCCAAGGGCCATGCTAGTTACTTGTCTTGTTGCTGCAACAAAATGCCTGACAGAAGTGTCTTGAGGAAGGTTTGTTCTGGCTTCCAGTTCTAGGAGATTGTGTCAGGAAAGGTATGGAGTAGGAGCAAGGGGCACTGGTCACATTGCATCAGTGGACAGGAAGTAGAGAGTGAACAGGAAGTGGGGCTTGGCTATAAAACACCAAATCCCATCCTCATGTTGTGGTGACCTCCCCCAACCAAAAAGATATTTTTGTTGCTACTGCATAACTGTAATTTTGCACTGTTATGACTCATAATGTAAATATCTGTGTTTTCTGATGATCTCAGGCAACCCCTGCGTCAAAAGGAAACTCCCTGTCATAGGTGACAAAATGGCTACACATAGTATCTGTTGTCATACCAGGAAAGACACCTGTTAAAATCAAATGGACCCAGATATACCAACAGGTAGATTAATTAGCTGAAATAGTTCTACAGTGTGATAGGGTACTTGACCTGTTCCACGTAGAACAAGGGAAGTATTATGTGACTTTAAGAGAAAATTGTTGTTTCTTTGCAAAGAATGATTCACTCAGGAATCATTAGAGATAATCAGGATATACTAAAAAAGCAACAAAACAAAAATAGAATAAACCCGAGATGGAAAATGACTAGTTCCCATTCTCACAGTCAGCCATCACAGAACCTTTGGCCCTTCGGTTTCTGCTAATTACTCTTGGCCCTTGCATCATTAATGCCTGAACTAGATACATAGATTTCAATGTGGATTAGATCTCAATATGTACACGTACCCACCACAGAGTAAAGGATTTGATTCAGGATACAACTCAAGAGGGGAATGTGAGGGCTAAAGCTGTATTTTAAGTTTTCATTACTGTGCTTAAGAGATCTAAAAAACAAGAATGTCTCTAACCTGCAAACCCCACTTGCCCAAGGACAGATAACTTCCTGGAATGCTAGCAGCTGTTGCTCATGTAAGATAACATGTATTTTCACTTCTGTAAGCAAGGTTGGTTGGCCAACAGCACAGGCTGTGCTTGATCACACATAGGCAGGAGCTATGTAGACAGGAAATACATCAGAATGTGTGCTTGTTCCCTACTGGATGAAGGTGGGGCGTACATAATCTTGTGGGTTTTACCTTTACGAGCACCTGACTAACCTAATTCCATGCCCTTCTCTGGGAATCCTGAGTATGGACCTGGCCAGCATCCATCACCCTGGCCAGTATTTAATAAAGCTTGCTTTAATTAGATAATGTGGATTTGGTCTTTCTCCTCACTATTTTCAAGTTTAACACTACCCACCTCCACACACAAACCTTCACACTGCTCCTCTGCCACCTCCTATGCACAGCATGAAGGTTAGAAAGCTCATGTTTTATTACTTATAAACTTATAAGTAAATAAATTTATTACTTATAAATAAACTTGCAGTTCTTTAGATGAAAACGTCCGTCTGTTCGGCACCCTCCATGAACTTGAAACAAGTGAGGTGTTAGGAGGATGTTGTACTCACCCACTTTCACCCTGCCTGTGACCTCCCCTTCTGAGTTGCGAGCATTGACTGTCACATTCTGAGTTGACTGCAGAAGCAGAGATGAGTCCTGGAAAGGATTTTCAAAATTAGCAAAATATATCTTTATGTTTATATATAATTCATTTTTACAATTTCTACATCAGATCCTTGGATCCTCTATACTTACAGCAAAAATAAACTTAACCAGAATTAAATTATTTTCAAGGTATAAATGCATTGACTTCTAGAAACATTATAATAATCCTTTCATTTTTATGATGTTTGAAAATTCTGCTCCTAACATGTTAATTAGTTCTCAAGGAAAATAGGTTCTAATTAGTGTTTTATCTTTGTCAAGACATTCACAGTCTTGGTTGTCATTGTTATTTATGTTCAAGTTATTTGTAGGGGATAAGTTGGAGAATGGTTAGATATTTTACAAGAAATACCATGCTTCTTATTTTCAAAATGCAAAGGCTTCTCACTATAAAAATAAAAAGTCTAACATAGAAAAAGACAAGTTCTACAGGACTCCTCAGCTGCGTGGTCTGAAGAGGTTGGTCACTTAGAAGGTGGGGAGGTGGACGAGGCTGGGTGTGGGGTGGGAGGGTGGAGGAGGTTCATTAGTGGATATGAGGGAGAGAATCAACTTTCCAAAGTTGTCTTCTGCATGAAGGCTCAAGCCCTCGAGCACACGCGCACACACGTAGTAGTGAACAAAAATTTTGAGAAGTATGTAATGTGTGTTTCTTGGTGCTTCCTGAGTGTGAGCTTGAGAGTGGGGCCACCATGACTGTGCAAATTTAGGTCCTCGTGCTTGTGGCATAGGCACTTTGCCCCCCCCCACCCCCAACCTCCTCATGCCATCCCCGACCCCACAGCTTTTCAGGGTGCTCCATAACCAGAGGCAAGTCACAGGCTGAGTTACATTCATGAGGAAGACATTCCTTCAGCTCAGCACTGCAGGTCACTGTTGAATGGCAAACTCCTCAGACTAACGAGGCAGTCCACTCATTGGGATTTTATAGAGAACTGCCCCCCTAGAATATCATAACTAACATCGGAGCATGCAGGTATCTGAGAGGAGATTGGTTCTGCACCTGTTATAGTTGAGGAGTTACATTTGTTACAAACTGCTTCATAGCTCTGTTCTGTTCATGGTTTCTGTAATTTTATGTCCTGGTTGACACTGATGTCACATTGTGAGCCTCTAATACATGGTTGGTCATCTGACTTTCTTTCTACTTGTATATCCTGCTCTTTTTAAAGCATTCTGGAAATGACAACCTGACAAAATGGAACTAAAAGTTGTTAATTCTAGAAGATCCCATGGGCTATGATCTATTTATCTGACTTTAGTCACCAGACCCTGCTCTCTGTTACTCCTTAAATACAGGGAGGGATCAACCAACATGACTTGGAAAAGGGGGAAGAATAAGATCTCATATTTTAATTTATTCATGCCCGACTTTCTTCCTAACAAAAACTTGTGCTGATTTTCCTTGTCCTCATACAACAGTGTCTGTAACACGTCTAGATGCTACTAGGGTTAATGTGAATGTACTGTCAGAAAAAAATGTCACATCTGACTCAGGCATGAATCAGCCTGTATTACAGATCATCTGAATGCTCCTCCTGCCAGCAAGATTCCGAGAAAGAATACAACGCAACCATGGGCAAGTCTTCTCCTATGCTCTGTCCTCTCTAGGACCTCCCTTTTGTCACTACTGACTGTGACTGTCATGCTGTTGCTCTGTTGCTGGTAGGAGACCCTGGTGAAAGGCCTGTTGCTTCTTTTGAGATATCTTACTTCAGTCCCTGTGATCCCTTTACTAAGTTCCGTGGAGGCAAGGCAAATCTTGATTTGCTTTTAAAGTTCATGATTGTTTTATAGTAGCTGATTTGGATCAGATTATGGCAAATCTCAGGCTAACACACCTCTAAGCAGGGCAAGTAATGCATTAAGTCTCTATGACAGGAATTTCTCCCAAGCTCCCCAGAGACTCTGAGTGCTCTGAATCATGTCTGTTTAAGCTGGTTGCACCAATGTGCAAGGTTCACTTCTTGCTAGTTCTTATAACTTATTTTAACTTGTTCCTCTTCATCTACATTTTGCCTCAGGGCTTTTTACCTTTCTTTCCTTCTGTATGTCCTACTCCATCTAGCTGGTTGGTGGCTGTCTGGCTGGTTGGCCCCAAGTATCTCCCTCTCTTTCTCCCTTTTCTCTTCTGTCTCTCCCAGCCTATATTCCTCCTCTTAATTATTCTACCTGCCCACCAGCCTTACCTATCCCTCTACTGCCTAGCTATTGGCCATTCAGCTTCTTATTAGACCAATCAAGTGCCTTAGGCAGGCAAAGAGAAATAGCAACACGTCTTTACATAATTAAACAAATGCAGCATAAACAAATGTAGCATGTCATTACATAGTTAAATAATTATTCTGCAATACATCTTTACTTAGTTAAATATTCCTCATTATCAATGGAGGGATAATCAATTGTTCTTGGTAAAGATTTTTTCATTATAAATTATTTTTTCCCTATGGAGTAAATTGCTGAGGCTACTAAACTCAGAGCTGAAGATTTAAGAATAAAATCTTAGCACATATTCTGTAAAGTAAGGTCTATTGTCCAGTAGCACACTGTTAGATTGGACATACCATGAATGTGTTAGATAGGAGATACCATGAATTGCTGTGCTTAACTGTTACTTATTTTTCACAAATCATGTGAGACACTTTCTTCTTACCACTCTGGAGCGTATTTCTTTGACATACAGTGGAAATAAAAACTCTGATTCCCCTTCCAGGCGAAGTCCATCTTGCGTAACATGCAAGTGACCCATTCCTATCTGTTAAAGAAAAAGAGACATGCAATTTTCACTGCTTTATTTTTCCCTTATCTTGGTTTAACTAAAATCACACACACACACACACACACACACACCTCCATATATTCCTTTTATTTTTCAGTATTTCTCCTAAACGTGTACTTGAAACTTTAGTTGTTTATATTCAATATTCATTTTTAAAAACCTTTTGCAAGTACAAGGGTCTATTTGGAAGATGCATGTAAGATTTAACAAATCATTTTATAATAAACTTCTAAGACTCCATGCCCATATAAAAGTAAATGAAATCTTATTATTACTACTTTTCTTTTTTAAGGGATGGATGGATGGATGGATGGATGGATGGATGGATGGATGGATGGGTGGGTGGGTGGGTGTATAGGTAGATGGATTGTATGTGGGCACATATGTGCCACAATTTCTGTGTAGAGATCAGAGGACAACTCTCAGATATTGATTCTTTCCCTTGGCCTTTGGTCCCAGAAATACAGCACAGCATGTCAGGCTTGATAACAAGTCCCCTTGCCTACCAAGTATCCCTCTGTGGGGAACAGAGGAAGATGCCAGGTTGCTCCAGGAACTCTCTAAGCACAGCAACACAAGGCCAATTGGAGAACACCTTAAAACAGTGACTCTCAACCTTCCCAATCCTGCCACACGTTAATACAGACCCTTTAATACAGACCCTTTAACACAGTTGTGGTGTCCCCAACCATAAAGTTATTTCATTGCTACTTCATAACTATAATTTCGCTACTGTTGTGAATCATAATGTAAATATCTGATATGCAGGATATCTGATATTCAACCCCTGTAAAAGGGTCACATGACCTCCCCAAAGGGGTCATGACTCACAGGCTGAGAACTGCTGTCTCACAAGAATCCCCACAACAGGGGTGAAAATCCTTACAACAAGGGCCAAACCTACCTAGAAATAATCCTTTCTGTGAACTCAAAATCAACTGATTAAGGCTTCAAGCCTTAATCACACCTGCAGACTCCTCCATGGTATAATTATAAGGTAACAGAAGGTACACTGCTCCATCACTTTCATCTCCTATTGGATGAAGCAAGCCATTGGCCCACCCATACTCAAAGGCAGGGTTACAGGGGTGTAACCCAGTGGGTGGACATCATGGGGACATCTTAAGAATTCTGTCAAGTAGGTTATTGAGAAGGAAATAAAGACATTTACAAGGAAATATTTGTAATATAAAACTATTTAGTGGCTATTATGATAATCATCTAATTGATTTTATAAAGAAAGCAGTACAGATAATCATAAAGTTAGGATTCAGTGCTGTGTCTGAATAGTAATAAAACACCAAATGTTTTGTGTGATTGAGAAAGTGGGTCCACAAAAATAAGAGGTTAACACTTAGAATCCACAAGCAAAGTACATTGGGCCTAACAACATCAATTTTATACCAGGAGAGACCACAGAATCATTTGTTATATCAAATGCATTAGAAAAGAAGAAAGTCGTGCTGGTTTGAATGAGACACCCCAACAAGCTCAGGAAGTTGAAGCGTGGTCCCCAGTAGATGGCACTGCCTGGGGAGGTTTGGGAGTGAGTATGTCACTCCTGGTGGGCTTTGAGAGCATATAGCCTTGCCCCATTTACTTCCAATTCACTTCCTGTCTTGTGTTTGCTATTGAGGCTGTGGGCTTTCAGCTTCCTGCCCTGGCTACTGTGCCTGCCTGCTGCCAGGCTTCCCCACCATGATGGTAGAGTTCTATCTACCTGTAACCGTAAGCCTAAATAAACTCTTCCTTCTGTAACTCACCTTGGCTGCAGTGTTTTGTTGCAGCAATATAAAAGTAACTAAGACAGAGGCCAAGGGCATTGAGATACGTACTTCAAGCTTGCACACTTAGTTGTGCAACTCTGTTTTGGTTTTTAGAAAGAATTTTGATTTTGCTGCATCTCCTGTTGACTATCACATTCCAGTGGGAACACAAGGTTATTGTGAGGGGTCCCAGAGAGCCCTCTGAGGGAGAGGCTCTGGCTTGGCATACATTGGAGAAATGGAAGCGCCTGGCTGCCCCTTCCACTGGCTCTGGCAGAGAACATCGTTCAGGCACTGCACTGGGTTCTGCCACAGGATGAGGTCCATCTGTGCTCAGTTCCCCACCAGCACGTTCACCGAAGAGAATGGGTCTCAGCTGAAGTATCTAGAGTGAAGAATATATTGCAGGGTTCTGAAGGGGAGCAGTTTTGCTCATTCTGGGTCTAGAGCTCAGGAAGATGAGCTAAGTCTTCGAGGAAATGATATGGAGCTTGCTTACAATTCCACCTGCTTTGACTCAGCAAATAACAGCATTAAAACTAAGTCCATCCGGGAACTTATGATGGCATTCATGTTAGTGCATAGGATCTGAGTTATCCATGGGTAGGAAAGGGTCCTGCTCTAGACCAATCGGTGACATTGTAACACTGAGGTAGATTTCAATTTAAAGGAAAATTTGAGAGTTGTGAGTGGGATTTTAGAAAAAACAAACCACAGAGGTGATGGGGTGGGGGCGGGGCGCTGGATATTCAGTTCAAGTTCCATGCTTGCTGGGTACATGCTCGTCACTGAGCTGGCTTCCATGCCAAACACACAGACATTTTTGGCAAAATTAGTTACGATGTAGCGATGAAAATAACTATGGATGGGGTCACCACAACTTAAGGAACTGTATTAAGGGGTCAAAGGATTTGGAAGGTTGAGAACCACTGCTCCAAGGCTCCTGTGTTGGCAACTTGACAATTGGGATGGCAGCTTTTTGGACTTTTACAGGGTGGTTCACATGGAAGGCTCTTGGCGAATGGCAACTTGTTCCTGAGATATTTGTCTGGGAGCCCTGGTTAGCTCTCATAGGATGACTGTGATAAAAGCCCCCGCAGGGCCCCACCCAGTCTGGCTGGCTTTTTGCCAGCTGATGTGACTTTTTCCTGCCATAGGCATTCTTGCATTCCTGCCAGGCATCTTGAGGTTCCCAACAGAGCTGAACCTAAGTCCTTAAACCTCCAAAATCGTGAGCTGAACAAGCCACCTTTTTTTAAGACTGAGTCATCAGCTCTAAATAGGGCATCTCTATAAAGTCCCTCCCCATAAGTCTTAGGGAGCACCAGGGAAGGGGTGGCAGGAAGAATGTGAGAGCTGGAGGATGGGGGGTTGCTGGGAAATCTATGGGCATGACATAGCGGGCACACTCAGGAACTCACAGCAGCTGTTGTCATCTGGAAAAGACCAAGTCACCCTAAATTCTAGCATAGATGGGTGGATGACCTCTGGGCCACAAGCCTTACTGAGGAGGTATGGCCATGGATAACTGCAGAGGGAGAGAGAATCACTCTTCCTGAGGGTGTGGCCAATGGTAAGTAGATTTCCCATGCTCCAGGGGTTGGCCCCATATCCCGGAGTGCGTGCTCAGCACTAATTGGAATTAGTGAGTTCTAAAAATAATGGCATGAAATTAGGAGTTGAATCTGTTAAGAGAGATATGGGGAGAATTGGAGGAGGAAATGGGGGCAAATATGATCATATTTTAGTGTTTACATGTATAAAATTATCAAGTATAAAGGAAAAATTAAACAAGAAAAACTAAATGAAAAGCAAAAATTCTCGTCTTTAAAAGCGAACATATACCTGCCTCAGGTATTTCATTCTGGGAATTTAATTAGATAACAGCAGACGTGCAAATGCTAAACATATACAATGGTGACATTAGGAAAATCTGTGATTTATATAGTTCTATAGAGTACACTCTACAAAAGATCATTAAGATATGTTGACTCAACCAACCACAAATTCAAGATTAGACCTCCCCTACCCTATAGAGATAATGATTAATGAAAAATACAAAGCAATAAGGAACTCCCCTCCCCACAAAAAAATCAATCAACAAACCACAGTTTTCAGTGAGTCAGAGTACAATGCCATTTAGCTCCTGAAAACTCTGACAAAGGCAGGAAATTTCTATCCACAAACCATTAAGACAATAATCCATGTTTGGAGCATGCTCGGGTAAAGGCAATACTCACTGGAGAAAACCACATCACTTTCAGAATCCAGATTGTGAGAGCGAGATTCACAACAAGGATGATGAGCAAGAGAAGAACAAATAGGTAGAGACAGCGCTTCCTCCAGCCATAAATCCCGATCCTGTGGACAAGCTGGCTCTCGGGCCTCTCTATGTGGGTGCCCTCTGTGACTGTGGTGTACTGTTCTCGTGCCATCTTCTAGGGGAGCAAAGGAGGCGGAGGCAGGAGACAGGGGAGCAGGGAGGAGAGAGGGGAGCAGGGAGGAGAGAGAACTTAGTTGTCAGTACTGATTTATTATGAGTCTAGGAAACAAATATACCCCAAACCTAAATTTCTAGAAGTAATAATTTTCAAGAGACCAGAAGTTGGTTATAGAGTGCACACCTACAATCCCACAGTTCTCAGGTTGGAGTGGGGGACAGGAGTTCAAAGGAATTCTTGGTTACATAGTGAGCTCAAGGACAGCTACATAAAGCCCTGTCTCAAAAGAACAGCAAACATGAGAGAAAGGGGGGAGGGAGAGAGAGGTGTACTATTACTTTGAAACATGTCATACTGTTTCAACCACAAGAAGATTTTTAACTTGTCATTTAAGATAGTTTGGATGTGACCAATTCACTTAAAATCCAGTGGCTGTATTTTCAGATTTTAATCAATTTTGCATGTGCACATGTGCGTGCCCCCCCACATTATGACTTTCATAACTCTGCAAAGCTGAACTTGACATTGAAGCATTAACCTTATTAACCTTTAAGTCAAGTTATCAAATAGGAAGAAAAATCAAGCTACTATCCATATTTTTTAATATAACTACTCAGTTTGACTCTGACTTCCTTTAGCTAAATTATTCAGAATTATGAAGGATTTTAAAACACATCTTTGCCAAGAACTGACTTACTTTAAGATAGATTATAATATGTGTGAAAGTAAATGTTTACAAATATCGTTTTTGTCAATAAATAAGTTCTGGTTAAAAATAAATCCTTTACTTTACTTTTACACCAAGTAAGAAGGAAAATGTTTCTCCCCGTCAGTGAAAGCCATGATGAAGACTGACTAGAAATGGCACATGTGCCTAGTCCTTGAGAGGGTCTCCTCTCAGACACCTCATGCATAGGGTGTATATTCATTTTTGGGGGTTATTTGGAGGCAGTCATAACCGAAAATGAATCATTGTCCAGATAATTCTTTGTCTATTTTCCATTTAATGATGGGCATTTCTCCAATGTTGTGACAATGCAAACGTGTGTTTCTATCACAAAGGATTTCCAAGTCCTCAGGACTGGCCCTGCGTGCTGTGGCACACCAAGTGTTGGTAGCTTCCCCAGGTGCTATTCCCTCAGTCCTCAGGCTTCTTTGTATCAGAAAGTCCCCTGCCGTCCATTCCCTAGCCCCTGCCCAGTCACTGACTTCATCTGGGTTTGCTCTCTTCCCTTCGGCCCCAGCCCAGCTGTTCTTACTGGTTCTGCCTTCTGCCCTTATCTGCACATCCCCACTGTGGCAGTCAGCAATGGAAGCCACCGCACTGTGTCGTCGTCCCCCTGTCCCTCCCCCCCAACAGCAGAATCTGACTTTGTTTTCTTCTACTCCAGTAGCCAACGTGTAAAATGTAAGGACGTTCTTGTCCCTGTGTTTACAAACTTTTGATGGCTCCCCGCCACACATGCCAGCATCCTTCACCTGCATGGCCGTGTGCAAGCTGGTCCCTAATGCTTATGTGACTTCGTCTCCTCCGTCCATCCACTGTATGTCCTTTCCCGAGAGAAGCTAACTCGATGCTCTCTATCCTTTCACTCCGTCCATTATTTCTTTGTCCAGGCCCAAGGGATACCCAACATTTTGGCCACATTGGAGGAATAACTATTCCTTAAGCACCACACAATTGAATTATAAAAAAAGAATTTAAAAAATACCACAATATTTTAAGGAAGCCAAGCCTCTGTGATGGCCTTATCCATAGCTATCCTGGCCACTGGGTTGGGCAATCCTGGGAGGGTTTCTGCCACTGAGCTTGTGTGATTCTGGGGAAGGGTGACCTGAGGGTCTGAATTGAGGGCAGGCAAGCATACTGTTTTACAGTATTGTTAAAGAACAATAAGATCAGCAAGAGTATGTGGACTTGTGTTCACATTTCTTTATATTCCTATATGTATCATTTCCCATTGGTGATGTCACAAATTATCCCAAGCTGACTGGCTTACATGTTGTGTATTGCAGTCAGAGGATGCATCTGCAGGTCCAAAACTCAATGTGGCCAGGCTGCATCCTTCTGGAGGATCTAGCTGAGAATCTGCCCCAAGCTCTGGCCTCCAGGCTGTTTCCATCTGCACATCTTCTTTGACTTGGCCATTCCTGCCCAACCCCTACATCTCACCTCATGTTGGCTTCCCCTGAGAACTCAGGATCCTTTCCCCACCTCATGAGCCAGCACTATGACATAGGCCAAATTCCTCTTTCCATGAAAGGCTGGGACACTCCCAGGTTTGGAGTATAAGGTATAGACATCTTTGGAGGTCATTAATATGTCTGCCATAAAATGCTACAAAGTTCATGATATAAGACTGAGGGGGACTCAGCAGCTGAGAGCACTTACTGAGGACTTGGGTTTGATCCCCCAAACCTACATTGTTGTACAGCTCACAATTACTTGTAACTCCATTCCAGAGGATCTGATACACACACATAGTTTACATACATAAACTCTGGCCCACCCTAAATACACACATTAAAAACAACAACAAATAACCATTGAGGCATGGCAGGATGATGTAGTCACTTGTGAGGTATGACATGAGTAAGGTGTTCACTTTATGAACTGCTGAGCCTACTAAGGAGGGATTTGACTCTTTGTGGCCTCATCTTAAGCAATGGTGATAAGTGAGTTCACCCAGAATCTCCTGCAGACTGTAATAAAAATACGTATGTTTCTATGCTAAAGTGCCTTTAGAATGCTTTAGAAAGTAAATATTGGGACACTGACAGTGTAGTTCAGTGGGTAAGGGTACCTATTGTCAAGCCTGATGGCCAGGGCTGGATTTCTGGGACTCAAAGGGTGGAAAGCAAAGACCAACTCCTTCAAGTTGTCCTGTGACCTACACACACACACACACACACACACACACACACACACACGCACGCACGCACGCACGCACGCTCTCTCGCATGCACAAACACACACACATTCATTACTAGCATGGGTTTACTTTGGACCCAGGAGTCCAATAACCACAGGGCATCTCAGACTTTTCAAAATTCCTTTCAGCAACATATTCTCTCAGCTTCCTTTCTTGGGTGGCTCACGCCAAACATCCTGGAGTCAAGTCTACCTTCCTTCTCTTCTTTCCTCACATTTAATCCATTAATAAGCCTCAGCAGGACTCTTTTCAGTCAACATCTGTCCACTGCTGCTGGGATTATTTTAGTAGCCACCTGACTGTTTTCAGCCCCTACCCCCAAGCCTCATATGGTCAGTCTCCAATATTCAGGCTGGAGACTGTCTTCATGCTTGGTTTCACATATGTGTGCCTATGTAGCGTGCTTGTATGCATCTGTGTTCCCAAATGGTTACATGTGTTCTCATGTGTGGTTGTGTGCTAGGTATTTTCCCATGTGTTTATGTTTATTCTCATGTGTGTGTTCCTGTGTATGTGCCTGTATGTATGTTTACGTGTATATGTCCCCATGTAGACATATGTATGTGTTCATATATGTGTGCCCATGTGTATATGTTTATGTGTGTGTTCCCATAAAGATACGTGTGTGACTGTTTATGTGTTGTGTGTTCACGTGTGTGTGCCTCTGTTTGTGTGTGTGTGTGTGTGTGTGTGTGTGTGTGTGTGTGCGTGTGTGTAGGTCTTTTGCTGATCTAGAACTTGCTGGTTTTGGGTAGCCAATATAGTTTGTTCCAGGATACCCCATCTCTGCCCCTTATTGGCTGGAACTTTAGTCCACCTGGCATTTGTGACTGTCAGGGTCTGAACTCCAGTCATCATTTTTGCATGGCAAGTGCTTTACCTGCTGAGCCATTGCCACAGCCCCAAGATGACCTTTTACAGCGTGGTCACTTGCCATCTCTATGCCATCTCTTATAATTCTCCGTCTGGGAGTTCACTGCCATGTCTTCACTGCCACTGACAGCCTTCAACCTCTGCCACTTCTCCCTGACCCCTGTTGTTCCAGTCCACAGGTCTCAGGCATGAATATGTGCCCCAGGTGTGATTCGTGCCTCGGTAGCTGCTGTCCTCTGTGCAGTTTTCCCTGCAGTCCCTGCTCTGTCACACAGCTGAGATAATAATGCTCTGCTCCTTCTGGGTTAAGTTTACTCCACATCACTTAACTATGCAGGTGTTAATGTGTATTTTATCTGCATATTTTTCTGTATTTGCTTCAGTCACCACATATAATCCCCAGGAAAGAAGGGTCCCCAACTGTTTGGCCATTCTGTTGTGTCCCAACACCTAAACAGCATCTGCTATATTGTATGAACTCAGTAAATTCTTGCTGAGTAAGACGAAGACACTACGTGCACAAACACCCAGAGCATTTTATTTCAATTTAAACTGAACCAGAACAAGAAAATATCAGAGGCCTGAATTTTCTCACTTGTACACGCATAAGTGATGAACTGTGTCCTGAGGAGGCTCCATAGTTCACTGTACTCATGGCACTTCTCCCTGGAGAGAGGAGCCTTCTGCATCTTAAGGTCACCCTCACCTTTGTGACTGCCTCTCTCACATGAGTGAGGGGCCAGGCCCACTTCCTGAGTCCAACTCATGTGCTGCACATCACCGCCGGGAGCTTAGGGACACTTCCTGATCTTCCTCATATGAGCTGAACCATTTCCATCCGCTGTTCAGCATGTCTGCCATTAAATTTGTGCAGCCTTATTTACTTTTGTTTAAAAACAAGATCTCACTCTGTGGCCCAAGCTGGCCTAGAACTCACTCCGGCCTGGGTTGGCCTCAAATTCATGGCAAGCCTTTGGCTTCTGCCTCCCGAGTGCTGGGATTACAGGTGTGATCTCACTGTGCCCCATTCTCATGTGTGATGATCGCCTCTTTAATGGTTTTGCCTAAATTGTTGCCTGCTGATGTCAGCTGCACCGGATTAAAAAGGCCTTCCTCCAGAGAAGCATGGATTGCTGAGCAGGGGGCATACAATATAGAGTCTCCCCGAAGAGCTGATTTTGTTGTTTGTAC